TTTCTTTTCTATTTCATAGACTCAATTATAATGGCAAGAAAAATTTAAAATTTTGATAAAATGAATTCATCATAAAACTTGTAATCTTAACCATTTTTAGATGTACAGTGCAGTGACAGTAAGCACATCAACATTGGTATGCAATCATTACTACCATCCACCTCCAGAACATTCCTCTGTTTTCCTATTCCTTGGTAAACACCATTCTACTATTGTCTCCTGATTTTGACTGCTAAGGGTACCTCCTATAAGTAGAATCATGCGATCATTGTCCTTTCATGTCCATGCTATTTCAATTTTAATATAAAAAATTAAATACATCCACAAATACTTGAAATTAAATCTATATAGTTAGTACAGATCTTTTCAAGAAGATCAATCATCATTACTTATATAGCATGTATAATCACATCTCAATATTATAAGCTTTAAAGTGAATTAGTAGTTGACATTTCAAAGGCAAGTATATGTTCAATAATATACAGAATCAGAAGTTCATTTCACGTGTTCTTTTTATTTTTTTACTCTGAGTTTCTTATTTGTTGTATAATTAAGCAATTTCTAACGTTTTGTCACATTTACTTCAAGTGTAGAAATTAAATACATAAACATGTATAATTTTTCCTTGTAAAACAGAAAATATAAGTATTATAAAATGAGGAATTCCTGAGAAAGATCAAAGCATTGGGAAAGAAAGGCATAGTGTCATGTATGATTCAGTGATGCAATATTATGACCATATGCAAAATGATATGACATCTACACTGTTTGTATAATCTCTGTATATTAACTTTTACAAATAACAGAAAATGTGTGATATTTGTCTTTCAGTATAGGCTGATTTTCATTAACGTAATGGTCAACAGTTCCATCCATTTTGTTAGAAATGGCAGGATATCATTCTTTTTATGGCTGAGTAGTACACCATTGTGTGTACATACTACGTTTTTTTCATCCTATCATCAGTTAATGGACAACAAGATTTATTCCATATCTTTGTTATGGTGAATTCGGCTGCTATAAACATGGGCATCTTACATGTTCTTAGTCAAGTCTTAATATCAGTAGATTAGCAGGATATAACTTATGGTCAAATTGTTCTTAGAGCAAGTATTGGTTTGTGAATTTGGCTTTGTTTATATACAATGACATCAATATTAAAAGAAAAGATTATTAGGGCACAGGTTATAATGGAAAAGGTATTTTATACTTTTCTTATTTGTTTATTTGAGAGAGAGAGAGAAGGAGAGCTCCCATCCACTTGTTTACTCCTCAAATGCCCATGATAGCCAGGGCTGGAAAGGAGAAAGCTGAGAGCCTAGGAATCAATTCAGGTCTCCCAAGTGGGTCGTAGAAACCCAATCTCTTGACCCATGAGCACTACCTTTCCGGATCTGCATAAGCAAAAATGTGCAGTTAGGATATAGAGCCAGGTATCAAACCCAGAATCTGCGGTACGGGTCATGGGCATCGTAACAATATTCTTACCTTTCAGGGCTATATATATAATTAAAACAGAGAAAGAGGAGGAAATCAAACAATGGATTGAAAGATAAAGAAAGAAATGGGTTCATTTGCATCTTGAAATTTCAGCTCAGTAATGTTTGTATTAGAGATGGAGCTTCACTAAGTCTTAATTCTTGTCCTCTGTTATCTTTCTCCCTGTGTGCTCAGCTCTTCACTTATTCCTAGGTAATGGAAGAAGGATTTTAGATGCAGACTACATGCAAATGGACTTTAATGTTGTTGTATAATGGTCATTCATAGGACTAATTTCAAATGTAGTACAAAATTTAGATTTTGGAGCTTGTTGAAGTTCATCAGAAGGTAATATATGGAAACTGAGAAATATAGATCAATTACATATAAGAGAATATTAATGAGTACCTAATTTCTCTGTCATTTTTCATGTTTTATCCACATCCCGTCTCCCAAGATTCAGATTTAATTTAGCATCTACTCAAGAAAACCAGTTCCTAGTAACTTGATATAAGGTGTGATCCAAAAAAAAAAAAAAAAAAAAATCTTGACTTGGCAGTTAAGAAAGCTGAAAAGATTTCAAACTGTCTTAACAGAGAGATAGTGACCAAAGCAATCATCCATTGGTGCTTTGGATAGACTACCTGGAGATGTCTATTCATCTACAAATGGCTCATGTAGAGCCATTGTCAATAATCTGGAATGTGTTCAGAATAAAAGATCTTGGTTATGTTCAATGCAAACCTCTAGAGTTGAACATGAAGATTCTGGAGATCATTAATGCAGAGACAAAGGCTAGGGGAATAGACATAATTCTGTCTTTCAATATTTCAGCTAATACTAATATGAGTGAAATAATGTACTCACACATCCTCCACCTGAAGATTTGATTACATCTTAACCCCCAGAACTTCAGAATGTAAATTATTTGGAAACAGGGCCATTGCAAGTGTAATTTGTTATGTTGGGGTCAGACTATAATAGGGTGACCTTCTAACCCCGTGTGACCATATCCTTACCATAGCATGGTACATAGGGATATAGAAAAATACCATGTTAAGTCTAAGGCAGAGATTGAGAACACCAAAGACTGAGAAGTGAGAGAGAAGAAAAAGATGTTGTTACAGGATTTGGGAGGATCATAGCCCTGCTGACTCAATGATTTCAGACTTACTGCTTCTAGAACTGTGAAACAGTAAATTTCTATTGTTTTCAACACCTCGTTTATAATACTCTGCCACAACCGCCCTAGGAAACACATGCAGATAACACAATGTAGAAAAATAAGTAAATTTTATTCTTTAGGTTTCAAGAATTAAGGAATAATATACAGATGTGCAAGGGAACCATTTCAACTCAATAAAATAAACTGTTACCACCAATTATAAATGCTCAAGCATGTTGGATCAAGGGTGTTGCAGAGGTGATTACTCAGGCATCAGATAGCAAGTTAGAGTGAATGAGATCCAATTCAAGAATTCAGTGTTAAAGTCCTGTCAGATAGAGGTTGGCAGTTTCTTTTATTATTATTATTAATTTTCTACTTCAAGCATGGGCATGCCAAAATTGTGAATAGGATTCAGATTCAAGCTCTAGTAGTTGCTAGTTAGTCTTGTGTCCTTAGGTGGGTTACCTAACCTCTCCATCCCTAGCTTCGCATATGTTAAAGAGAGATGATAATAGGACTCCCTTCATAGTGTTATTATGATTAAACAAGTTAATAATTTAAAGTGTTTAGCACAGAAGATATGCCACATAGTAAGCATGAAAAAAGTGCTGTTTGTGCAAATATTTTCTTTAATCTTGGTTAGACACAATACATTCACACCATCATCTCATAACTGCCATTTCTCACCTCCTAAATATAGAGTTGAAGTCAAACTAGAACTACATTAATTGCATTTAATATTTAATTAAAGTACTAAGTATATTCTTTCCTAGATTTAAGCTTACATGATTGCAGTTATTTGTTGATCAAATATAATAAATATATTTTTGGTAATTTTCTCATAATAAATTATAAAAATGTGTTTGTCAACTGCAAGAATGAATGTGCATGTTTGTGTGTATATGTTTCTAGTGTTTATAGAAGATAAATCATTCAACATAAATAATCATTCAACAGAATTATTTTCAAATAATAAAGGCTATAGTTTACCCTAATTAAGGCTCACCTGAGTTTTCAGGTACAAGTATCCTGGGGAGAAAGATGTGGCATCTTCAAAACTAATTCCTCAGGAATCTAGGCATTTTATTAAATTAACATCTGTTGGTAGCTGACAGCCAATTTAAGCTTCAGGAGGTGGTAAAAGCATTTTCCAACACACAAAACTCTTAATAAATGGTACATAATTGAATTCTTCATTCAGTGACTAAAATCTGACAAAATGCGTTATTTCAGTTGTTTCATTGCTATATAAAGTTACTAATCACTTCATCATCTGGGTGTGTAAGTGAAAACACTGACAGATTAATGATACCCCAAATTCACAGTTACTTTCAGTAAAGCAAATCCATCAACAGATGTGAGTAGCTGTGCATACACATATTCAATTCGAGAACCAGTGATTTTATAACCTTTGTATACTTGAATCAGGTGGAGGACAGGGGGTGGGATATTGGATATTGTTTCAGCTGCTTTATGGAACTGAGTGAAATAGCCCAAATTTTAAACTGTAGATATTCTCTAGTGCACAGAGAGGACAAAGGAGAAAGTATTAAAAAGTGTGTTTTTTTGGAAGGTGATGTTTCTAGGTCATCAGGGTAATAGAAAGGAGAAAGAATTGCATTTCTAGAGTTTATATGAGTTTTGTTACTGCTCCCTGAATTCCATGAGATGAGTTGTGTAGTAGAGACCATCTTTTCACTTAGAGCTAAATCCCGGTTGTAACTATAATTCTGTTCTTTTTGAACAAAGTGTCCTTACACAACTTCCATGAATCCCCCATGTCTTATTTCATTTATGAATCCCTCAGATTATTGTTGAGATTGAATAACATAAATATATGAATTTCATAGCTCAGTATTTGACAATGGTTAGAGCTGAATAATTGTTGGCTCGTTTCTTTTAAAGGCAAAGATTTTTATCTATTAAAGTTCCAAACACAGAGTTTGGGAGCAGATATGGTTCAAGGGCATGGATAAGGAAAACACACAAGTTAATGAAAATTCCCAGCGTCTAGTCAATATAATTTAGCCACTACCCCTTCAGGTTCTACTACATACTTAGTAGTGAGAAAATAGAAAGCTGAATCAAAGATTATTGTTTAATTTCTGGGACATTCAATTTAAAATGAAATGAAAATAAGTGCAGCCTCAGGTTCGATTGAGAAATGGCTTGCAAAGTAAATGAACTAACTTCAAGCACGTCTTCAACAATGGAGTAGATGGACTGGTTCATTGATTACACAGAACATGTTTAAATTGTCTATTGCTTATGATATAAATGTGCAAATTTAAAAATATTTCTTCATTGGTGCCTATTGTCTCCATCTAATTATTCTGCTTTCTTTACAAATGAGTTTGTGTGGCAGTGTGGAAGAACCACCACATGAGGACAGTGACAAACTACTTCATAGTCAACCTTTCTCTGGCTGATGTTCTTGTGACCATCACCTGCCTTCCAGCCACACTGGTCGTGGATATTACTGAGACCTGGTTCTTTGGACAGTCTCTCTGCAAAGTGATTCCTTATTTACAGGTAATTCGTTTTTTTCCACAATTTTTGGATTCATATACAGAAGGTTCTGAAGAAATATATTTTTAGGGCCGTTTTAGTGTCACAGCAAAATCAAGCACACAGCACAATGATTTCAAATTTGCTCCCACATGTGAACCCTTCCCCATTACTAACATTTCCCTTCCTCTGCCAAAGTGGTACATTTGTTATAACTGATGAAGCTATATTGACACATCATCATCACTCAGAATCCATAGTTTATACTAGGGTTACCTGGTGATATGCATATTATGGGTTTGGACAAATGTGTGATGACATATATATATATATATATATATATATATATATATGCCTACTACTCTGTAAGATACTATAATGGCATGTGTGTGTATATATATATACCATTATATATATATATGTATTTGTCTACTACACTTATATATATATGTCTACTACTATATATATATATATATATATGTATGTCTGCTACTCTGTAAGATACTATAATGGTATATATACCATTATAGTTTCACAGAGTATTTTCACAGTCATGGCCTTCCAGTTATTTAACTAGTGAGATAAAAAGAAATACACCATATTGGAATTTGCAAACTTAAAGAAGAAAAATATTTAAGATTTTTCTAGAGAAGTTAAATTCCAGACAAAAATAACAATAAAACTACCCAAGTTATCATAATATGCTGAACAAATGTTTTATTTCTTTGATCCATACTTTCAACAAATTAATAAGCTAGGCTCTTTCAGTTCAAGTTATTGAAATGATGTGTTTATAAGTGGCTTCATTTCCTATTGAAGAGTTTAAGAACTGTGTTTCAAATTAGTATAGTAAATAGGTTTAATATAGGTCCTAACTCAAACTACCAGACTTGAAACCATTGCTATGACATTCATTGACTATGCAGTATTAAGCTAAATAAATAAACTCTTTAAGGTTCACCTATTTAAAGAGAATAATAATTTTAAGAAGATCCAGCTCATATGGTTGCTGTGACAATGGACTTTCAAAGTTTATGTATCTCATGGCACAGTGCTAACCCTCTGGAAAATGATTATATAATAAAAGCATAGGGTGTTAAGGAACAATAACAGCAGCATTATAAAATATTTCATTGCTCATTAGTGAAAGAAATGCTTCACTATCTACTTGCCGTTTTAAAAATGAACAGAAATGAATGTTTAGTCTAGAGATTACGACTCCCAATCAAAGTACCTGAGTTTGATTCTCAGCTCCAGCTACTGTCTCTAGCTTTCTACTAATGCAGATTCCAGAAAACAGCAGTGATAGCTGAGTAATTGAGTTTCTATCACAAGTAGGGGACTTGGATTGAGTTTCTGTTCCCAGGTTTGGCTGAGGTCCAGCTGATGGCAATGGTGGGCACTTGGCATATAAACCAGCAGATGATGTCTCTCTCTCTCTCTCTATTTCTCTGTCAATTAAATATATATTTTAAAAATAAATTCAGTGAATTGTTTTCTGATTGTTTATATAATTCTATAATCTTTGAAAATCAGATTCCCAAGATGGTAGCCACAGCCACATTTTCCAAAGAGGTCGAGTCCCTAAGGCATTTGAATGTGAGTGAAATGACAGCCACCGTCTTCTCGTCATCCCATAGACTTCCTCCACCCACCACCCCAGAACTTACTCTATCTAGTGTCCCGGACAGTCACCATAATATCTAGAAGAACAGAAAATAATCTTCCAATAATACAAATTTGAGGGATGCGATAAGTCGCTCATTACTAGAAATTATACTAATTGGGCTTTTGGAACTGATACGGTTCAAAGGAATCTTTAGCTCAATAGTTCTTCAATAACCTCTTACAAAGAGAAGTGATAATTTTTAAGGGTCAAGCATCATTTACAGCATAGAAAGTAAAATGTCATAGAAGTTATGTTTCCTGCATACATTATATATAATTATAGGGTTAGTTTGGGGCAATGTGCTAAAAATCATGAACGAATTTAAAAAAATGAACTGTACCAGATTTTTAGATAAAAAGAAATGAAAGAATAGAGAAATTATTCTCATAGAACAAAATTCAGTAAGAAACATATTTATTCTGATGGAATTTGCAGAGAGGCAGTGGGAAAATTAGACAATTCTAACATTTCACCACCTCTGTGTTCTTTTTTTTTTTTTCATTTTTGAAAGAGGGAGTATGTGTGTGTCTATCTTCTTCTTTTTTTAAGATTTATTTTATTTATTTGAAAGGCAGAGTTGCAGAGAGATCATGAAAAAGAGATCTTCCATCCACTGGTTCACTCCCCAAAAGGCTACAACAGCTGGGGCTGGTCCAAGCTGAAGCCAGGAGACAGCAGCTTCTTCCTAGTTTCTCACATGGTTGAAGGGAAGTCTCTCACGTGGGTGCAGGGAACCAAGCACTTGGACTGTTTTCCACTACTTTCCCAGGTGCATTAGCAGGGAGCAGAATTGGAAGTGGAACAGCTGCCCATAAGGGATGCCAGCACTGAAGGCAGTGGCTTTACCCATTAGGTCACAATGCCAGCCTCACCTCTGTGCTAGTTCTGGAAAGCTTTGTATTTATCTTGGTTCCTGTAATCACCCAGAAGGAAATTTCATGGCTCCTATTAAGTTTCAGGATGACTCCGTTTGCCCAGACTCTTCAGCTAGCTGAGAAGATTTCATGCTCTTCCAGTGAACCAGAGAATTCCCCAGTGGTGAATGGGATAAAAATGGAGGAGTGTATCCCCTTCTAGCAGGTGCAGTGCCGTTCATCATATAGAGTAGGAATTCTGAGTCCACTATGCACAAGGAGGACAGACTGGAAGCAGCCTGTAACCACAGAGTGATGAAGGTCATAGGTAGCTCTTAAAATCACTGACTATGCTTTTGCCTGAAATGAGAGGTTGCAGTAGTCAAATTCTTTATAACTCTTTCATAGAGCACAACTTAATAGCAAGTTCTGCAGTTGAAGAGATATCCTCATTTCCTGAGAAATTTAGTCTGCTTGTCTGTAAACAGTGTCCCAATATGATAAACTTCTCAACTAGCCCTGTTCAACTCAGGCCAATGAGCAAAATATATTGAGTAACTGTAAGGCAGAATAAACTAGATTCACTCATCAACTCATGCAGCGCTACTTTTGGTGTAAAGATGTAAATTTACAAAAAGACTGCAACCTAGTAACAGCAGTATCTCCACCTTTTCAACATTTATTGTACCTTTTCCATAGAGATTTCCCAAAAGCAATGAGCAATGAAACTAGGCAATACGTCTATCATTTAATTGGAGTAGGTTTATTCCCCAGTTGTGATATTCTGAAACTGGTAGCTTTTATTCTTGATATGAAATTTGTATCTTACTGAATATTTAACATATATTACATAATGCTTGCCACCACTTAAAGTTATTTGGTTTCATTTGAGACTTCAGGCACATTTGCTAATTTGCTATGATTTATATGTTCTTCTAAAAACAATATAACTTTAGATTTATGAGTGATACACAGTAACACTTTGGCAAATTCTCAAAATATTTAAAAATATGACAATTGTAATAAAACTTAGCTGAATAAAATGATCCTTATGGATCTTTAAGAATTCTGTAATTCCAAAACCATTAACATTTGTTAGGCTGTTGGCTTAATAATTATCATGTGTTTTACTTCTCGTCCAATAACCAAGATTGATAGCAGTAGGAGATTATTTATTCATGGTGAATTTTTTTCAGCTGCAGAAAAGATTTTTCACAGGAAATTCCAGGAAAAGAACAAAAGCCAAATGAAACATGGGTGGTGTGAGCTATGCAGATAGACACGCTTCACTTTCTCAGCCATATTTTATCACCTTCAAATCTATCAGTGTCTATTACCTAGATTTTTGATTTGGAAAAATTTACATTTCCACTTTCCATGGATTTTAGGATCCTTTGAGGGACAGGTGTTATTATACAAAAGCTTAAATGCCAAATTGGGATGCCTGGATCCCATATCAGAAGGCTGGTTGGAATCTATGCTCCTCTGCTTCTGATCTAGCTTCCTGCTAATGTACCTGGGCAGGCAGCAGATGATGGCCCAAATACTTGGGTTCCTGCCACCCAGATGTAGTTCCTTGTTCATGACTTTGGCCCGACAAAGAGCTAATTGTTGGAACCATTTAGAGAGTGAACCAGAAAATTGAAGATCTCTGTCTCTCTCTGTTGCTGAACCTTTCTAATAAATAGTTTTGATGCTTTTATGTGCTCTCATAAAGTAATATTGTTTTATCCTAAATGAAATCCTCTATCTTTACTTTGTCCATAAGTTACCCATAATACAAATGAAAGACCAAATACCTGAAGGCAAAAATTCCCATTGCCTGATTACACTTCATTTATAACACATAGTCCACAGATTCACTTCTAAAATGACTTACTAAAAGATTGATTTGAGCTAATATCAGAATACACAAAAAAGGACCCAGAAGTGCATGCCTTAAGTGCTAAAGGTTAGCAAAACTCTCATTTATACACGTGATAAGATACAATTTTATACCCTCCCTCCAAAATCTTTTAAATTAGATGTTAATTGTATACTCATATTTTACACATTAAATAGTTAATATTAAGTCACTGTTTGTCAAAGCTCCATTCAATGGATTCTACTGTTAGAGTCAGCTATGCAACTTAATGGCAATGTATCCTGGGTAACTGCTGGCACTAGATACCAGTCTTTCAAGTGCACGGATATGAATTGATTACTATTACCTAATAGAATTAAGAAATATAGAGTTGGGTCATGTTACATCTCTCTCTTTCATCCAGGTTGATTAGAATTCATAAAAAATAAACTATAAAGCCTTGAACATTTCTTCTCATTGCTAGAGTGAATAAATATAAGTCCTGACCTGTAGCTATGAGAAATCAATTCTGCAGATCTACACTGCCATAGTTCTAATCCCAGTTTAGTTAAGGTATGGAGGGGCATTAGTGATTGATTTATCTGGACAGAAGAAATGGAAGTTTACAGGGTGGGAGTGAAATTATTTTGAGAAATAGAGTTAAAGGTGCTCTAAGGGAGTATGAGTCATCAACTAACCTAAGCTGTTCCAGTGGATTCTGGTCCTGTAAGCCTATACTTAAAATGAAATTAGCCTCCAATAATTTAGTAGAATTTACATTTTTACTTATCATATCTATCACTACTCTTCTCTAAAAAGCAGCCTATTCCAAAAATCTATAATTCTGTGTCCAAAAATAAAAGAGAACACCTATATTGCAATTAGCATTATTATTACTATAATCGTTGTAACTAATAACAAATGCACACACTTATATGCCAGTTTTGGGCCAGGCATTTTACATTTCAATCAACTCTCCCTACCTGATTGAATGCTACTATTATACTCTTTTTATAGAGGAGATAACTGAGCAATACTGAGATTAAGTAGCTTATCTAAAATTACACACTCAGGAAGTGAGTTCAGATTCATGCCCAGGAAACCTGGTTGCCAAATTGATTGTACTCTGTTACCTCTCCCAGACAGAATCAAAGAATCAGGATTGGTAAGAATCTAACCCTGTCAAATATCCTTCATTTAAGAAACACACACACAGGCACACTCACAGTCAGCACAAGCTGTAAAGTGGGTTAGCCAATATTGTGCAGCTCGCTGGTGGAAGAACGAAAATAGATCATCCTGACATATTAGCCCCAAGCTCTTCCTGTGTTGCACTGGCTCTTAGACTCTTTCCCGTTAGTTGTAGCTATAGTCAATACATCAAATGAGAAATTCCTGTTTTAACAAGCATAGAAACTTACCTTTGGTGCATATTATGGGGTCAGCACACTAGGACATAAGAAAGAGGAAGATGTCACATCTATTACCTTAAATTGAGGCTGATCACTAATAATTGATTAAAAATATTTATTAAGTACATAATACACATCAAATTCTGAGCCAGTTATGAAAAAGAAGAAAAAAAAAACCAGAAGCATAGAAGCAGTGTATCCTGTCATGGTGAATTGTTCCAATAGAGAAAACAGACAAAATAAGCAAATTAAACAAAATCATTTACTGTGTGACATGTTCTGAAAAGAAAACAAATAAGAATTTTTGATTAAAAATAAGAGAAATGAAAACTTTTTTTATATAGGAAGAGAGAATCTTGGGAATAATATAGGTATCAATGTTTTATCCAGGAAAGGAGAACACACTAAACATAATTACATATATTGATCATGTGAGTATAGCTATGCTTAAAATGTTTCTTTAAAATTCCTACCTGAAAATTTACAGGATAGACACATCATACTATTCCCTGTAAGAGAAAGAGGTTGTTCCATTTGAGAAAAAATATATGGGTTTCTTTTTTGTTTAATTTTAAGATATGATTTCTTATATCAATAAAAAAGTCTTAAGACAAAATTGTGGAAGTAATTATTCAACAAATACCGATTATAAATTAAAATATTTGGTGTCAAGGAAATTTAAGAAGTTTTCATGGCATTTTTTCCCAAATTTGACAGGAAATAGGCATTTTTCCAATATATTCTTCCTCTTTCTGATGTTACCATGAAAGATATAGACGACACATGTGTGGATTTTTTTTAATATTCTGTATCTTGTTTTATTTCAGTTCTTTAAAAATCTTCCATAAAACTTGTAGTTCTCAGACTTTGTTCTGTGGTATCATATTTTTAGTGCTATTATAATTTTTTACTTGTCAAAATCAGTATTACTTTATTCTTAAGACTTTTTATGAAGGAACTTTAAAGAGTTCATAGTTATATTTTTCATTCAGAGTTCAGAGTTATATTTTTAGTGATTTTAAAAATAATTTTTAAAATTTTTCCTTATTTGCCTCATATTATACACACATGCTATTTTTGAAAACAGATATTAATATGACATGAATCGAAGAGTGAAGGAAGTATGTTTTTAAGTAAGGGTACAATTCAGTGAAGAAAATATTTATAAATAGCTATATACCAAATAATATGACATCCACGCATTTTATGCTACATATTGCATATGTAATATATATATATTTATTAACTTCCACATATCAGAGAAAACATGTGGAATTTATCTTTCTGTGTCTGGTTAATCTCAATTATTCCAGTTATCTCCACTTCCATGCCTTTCATTGCAAATGTCAAGATTTCATTCTTTTTATCACAGAGTAATATTCCATCCCATTTATATACTACACCTTCTTTATCCAGTCATCAGCTGATGGACATCTAGGTTGATTCCACATCTTTACCATTGTGAATTTAGCTGCAATATACATGTGAGTCCAGGTATCTCTTTCATATGCTGACTTCACTTCCTTTGGATATATTCCCCAAAATGGGACAGCTGAATCACATGGCAGATCTATTTCAGTTTTCTGAGAAAGCTCCATGCTGTTTTACATAATGGCTGCACTAATTAGCATTTCCATCAACAGTGTATTAGGATTCCCCTTTCTCCACATCCTCACCTTTTGACAGCTTTGAATTTGTTTACCTACTGTGACCATTTTTCTAATGCAGTAAAGACAATGAGTGATCCTTTTGACACCTGATGCTTCTCTTGTACTATGTTCCTTCTCCATTCTCTAGACTGTGTCAGTGTCTGTGTCTGTTCTCACACTGAGCTGCATCGCCTTAGATCGATGGTATGCCATCTGTCATCCTTTGATGTTTAAGAGCACAGCCAAACGGGCCCGGAACAGCATTGTCATCATCTGGATTGTCTCCTGCATCATAATGATTCCTCAGGCCATCGTCATGGAGTGCAGTACCATGCTCCCTGGCTTAGCCAATAAAACCACTCTCTTCACAGTATGTGATGAGCGCTGGGGAGGTAAGTACATTTAAGCCCATGAGCTTTCATTTCTATTACAGCTACAAACTGAAAGTTCGGATTTTCATAGCCACCATAAAATAGGGCTTATATAGTTTATTGGCACTTATAATTCAGTTGCAAAAATATGAAAACCAAGTTAAAACCCAAAATCATGTCTTTTGGAAAATCTATTTGGACTGATTTCTAGCTTTCATATTTTTCAGATAGTCAATGGAATGAAGAGCTTATTTTATAATGTAGACTTAGTCATGTTAGGTTTTCTTAAATTTCCAGAAATACAAATTTAAATATGTAGAAAGTTTACATTATTTGTTCAAGATTATGAAGTAAATATGTACATTTAAATCAAAACTTCCAACTCAAAAGTTAGGATTTTTTTAAATTTATAGAGAGGGTAATTAGATAACATATATTACTTAATATATGTGAGTATGTTTTCTCTAAGGTATTTTAGTAATTAATTTCATTTATGTATACATGATATATAACTTGCATTTATAAATTTTCATTATGTTGCTATGAATAATCAAGTAGCATTAACCTGAGAATCTTGTCATTTATTATGATTTATTATATTAATCCTGTCATTTATTATGATTAAGTAGGCACATTCTATTCAATTACCTTTGAATAATAACTATATACACATAGAAGTTTTTGTAACTCTAGTATTTTATTATTTAACTCTATCATGAAAATTTTCTTGAAAATAAACCACAAGTATTGCTGAATACCTTAACATCGAACTCAGTCTAAATACTTAAATACTTTAGAAAAGTAATTAAAGTGATTTTATATAGTCCATGTTTACTTACAATGTTTAGAGAGGCTTTTATGATGTGGCATTAAATTAATCTGTTTTTTATTATTTTATATTGATTTTGACATTAGTAACTTAATAGCTTAAAAGCCTTCTTCATAGCTTCTTAATGTTTGTTTTTTGAATTCCATGTGTACGAGAACTCTTTAAAAAATTCAAAAATTACATACCCTAAAAACTACACATGGATTTCAGAAAATTTTGGGCACCAAAGCAAATCTGACCTTTGATTCCATTACTCCATGAATTTGAGTTTTTCTACATGTTTTGCTCACTCTTTACTTGAGCACATATATTCATATTTCTGCAAGTTTAGATTTCTTCCAAAAATTTATTCCCAATTTTTTTTTTGTTTAAAGATTTGTTTGTTTATTTGAAAGTCAAGTTAAAGAGAGAGAGAGAGACAGAGATCTTACATTTGCTGATCCACTCTCCAGAAGGCTGTAACACCAGAGCTGGGCCAGACCAAAGCCAGAAGCCAGGAGCCAGGAACCAGGAGCCACATCCAAGTCTCCCACCTAAGTAGCAAGGGCACAAACATTTGGGTTATACGCTGCAGTTTTCCCCTGGCCATTAGAGGGAGCTGGAGATCACATATGGGATATCCCTATCCCAAGCAGCAGCTTTATCTGGTATGCCACAATGCTGGCCCCCTTTCTTTCATGAATGGTTTGTAAATGCATGATTCCACAAGATAGAACCTATTGAAAGGAAAGCATCTCTCTTTTCCCAAGCACAATCAAAGGAACAATGGTCTCATTACTAATTCATCAGTATTTAAGGAACACTTGTTGTTTGTCAAACACTGGTCTGGATGCTGGGAATTAATAATATATCTCCTGCTGAATCTTACTGACAAATTGTTCTTTGGTAGCTAAAAAATAAAAGTGGAGTCCTTTTTGACAGCCAAAGCAATCATAATCTGGCATATTGTAAGATTTTAAAATTGATTAAAATATATGTACATGTATCCACTAGAACATTTACTAAAAACACCATTAAAAAAGATAACGCTATTAAAGATTCAGGTAAATTATGTAAGTAGTTTAATAAATGTTCCTGTAAGGAAAAGGGGTGCACACATAGAAGGCAGGGCCTGATTGTGTGCCTAGACTCAATTGAGCGAGTGGAGGAAAACAGGTTTGATAGGTTATGACAGTCCAAATTGAATATTGGGAAATAATATTTCTGCCCATTTAGTCTCTGATAAGGTTAGCATGAAGAAGAAATATTCATAATTTTCAAAAAATCAGGTTAACATGCTACTGAATAATGGACTTTAACTTGTGTGAGTGAAGTGAAATTTTGCCTATTTAATACATGATAATACTATTTAATCTTTGATTTCAGGCTAAAGATCCACATTTGTTCTTCATATATGCCAGGATTTATTTAGAATGGGCCTGTTTATCATCTGAGTAGAGACACGGATTTTTAGTAGATGTCAATCTTCAAAATGGAAGTTAACTAATTAAGGTTATTCTTAAGGGAAACAAATTTGATAAAGCTATATTCTAGGTCACACATAAATGTCTTAAAATATATGGGAGACACTGCTTATCAAGTATAGAAAAATACCAAAGGTATCTTTAACAAACACAATTAAATTTTCAGTGATATATCTGGATTTTCAATTACCTTAGACTGTAAGCATGAAATGAGGGATTTAAGATGATCATGTTTCCCCAATTATCTATTATAATCTCCTTATGAAAACACAATCTATGCTATCCTGGAAGAACAATTTTCTTGAACAACTTTTCTCCATGTAAGTGTTCATTCTTACAATATTCACTTAGCAGTCAAGTGCATAGTTTTCCAACTATTTATACACATGCCAACCACAAAAAACTCCCATCTGTTCAAAACTCCAAACCATTATCACAATGATAACATGCTGAAGAGAGAGAAAATTACCTATCACATCTATCTTCTCCTGTCACTCAATTTAGTCTGAGGCAGGCATCAGAGCTTCACAGGTAGGTAAGTGTTAAAGACATTTTTTTATTTGCAAAGTTCATGTGACACTTTCTTCAATACAAATAAAAGTTCCAAGCCACTCAGGTGCCTGGGAAGTGCTGAGGTCACCTACCGGTTCCATTGAAACTGGCCCACCACATATTGCTCAAGTGTAGCACTTCAAAGGGAAAATCTATTTGTTTTTCCTTCAGTTGGGCTGCTTGGATTCTACAACGTTTTATGTAAGTGGCCTGCTGGTACAGGATAAACTTGAAAGGAAGTTAGAAACTGATGACATAGGTGAGTGCATCCTGGGCCAGAGAGAGGATAAAAATGACAACTCAGATTGGTCTCTTAGACCACTTAGCAGCATATGCACTCTGCTTTCCCTTTTGAAGATTTCAGTGGAGAAAAATGTCTATTCTGAGAAAGCTGACAGCGATTTACAAGGAAGAATACAGAAAATAATGTGCTCAAACACAATTGACTCTGGGAGACAAGGCTATGGAATCTAGATTGTGGAGGATATTAAACTTGTGGATATTTTTAAAATGCATTCAGTAAGAGTTAAATGCTTTAATAAGTATTACTGATTACTAAGGTCATTGTTAATCCTGACTATAAGTTGCCCTTAACACAAATTTTATCTCATAAGCAAGCCTTTATCCTCCTATTCACTTTTCTGATGTAATGAAAAGAATAAAATGCATGGAACTGATAGCTTTACCTCTCAATAACTGCATGAAACTAACACCTTGCCAAAATCAAAGGCAAAATAAAGGATTTAATTTTTAGAAATACAAAGCAAAATTTGTTTTGTTATCAATAAATTAGACTCATATTGAATTATTGGATGTAGTATCCATGGAATCTATGCAGAGTTTGTTGTTTCTTGTTTTACGTTGTAGTATAAGTAGATGGTCTACTGTAATGAATTCAAATGCTAGCTTAAGGAAAATGATTTCTAAATCATTTTAAAGTCAATAATAGACATAGTCTAGAAATACTAGAATATTAATTTGATACAACTTAGAAGTTTAAGTCTCTGCCTAAAGAGGCAACATCCCATTTGGACGCTGGTTCGAGTCCCAGCCACTGTACCTCCAATCTAGCTCACTGATAATGTGGCTAGGAAAGCAGCAGAAGATGGCCCAAGTGCTTGGGTCCCTGCACCCACGTGGGAGACCTGGATAAAGCTCCTGGCTCCTGGCTTCTGCCTGGCCTGACCCTAGTCGTTGTGGCCATTTGGGGTGTGAACCAGTGGATGGAAGACTCCTTTCTCTCTCTCTCTCTCTCCCTCTCTCTCTCTCCCTCTCTCTCTCTCCCTCTCTCTCCCTCTCTCTCTCCCTCTCTTTCTCTCTCTCTCTCCCTTCTCTCTCTGTATCTCCGCCTTACAAATAAATAAATAAATCTTAAAAAAAAAATGACGCAAAACCTTTAATGAATTGATTGGTTCTCTATTAACTGCCTAATGCATAATAGGTACCTTTTGTGTATTTTAGATTTAAAAATAAAAAAGCACTATAATCTAATTGTGTTTTTGTGAATAAGTGACATGGATATAAACAAAAAAATCCATACTGGATTGAAATTAACTTCAAATATCCCTAAAACTCTTTCCTCATGTGTACAATCATTTACAAGCACAGACATGGCAAGCTTAAAGAACTTTGAGTAAGTGCCTATAAGTTAACAGAAGGAACCACTGGTTGTATTTACTTTCTCCAGATGTTGCCACATTTGTATTTGGAGGTAAAATTAGGAACAGCCTACCAGTTCTTGGGGAATTTATATTCTAGTAAGGAGAAGTAATAAGTAAGCAGTTAAATACTGTAGAGTATTTAACATGAGAATGTAGTGTATAAAACATGCCAAGGGAATCACATAAAGTATAAATTTTTACTTTGAAAAATGTTGATAGATATGTCTGTTAAAATATTCATCCATTGTAACAGGAGATTGCATTGTTTTCAATTTTCATCATAGGTGACATTTACCCCAAGATGTATCACATTTGTTTCTTTCTGGTGACATACATGGCACCACTGTGTCTTATGGTGTTGGCTTATCTACAAATATTTCGTAAACTCTGGTGCCGACAGGTATGTAAATTCCAATAATTTGGTTGTTGTTTCCTTTAGAATATGATAAAAAAAAAACAAAATTTGGGAATTTATTGAACAAACAAGATATGTGCAACAAATGATTGTGATTTCTTCTTATATCAAGGCCCTCACCATGGAAATATGTCGACTATTTTTTAAAGTGGTATTTAGGTAATGAATTTTATGACCTGAAACAGGCCTTTAAATTTATAACCAAATTTAAATCTGTGATTAATTGACTTGACTTTTGTCTATGAAGAAAATTATTAATGAAAAGTAGCAAATAAAAATCCTTCAAAATTTCCTGAGACTAGAAGTCTAAAAGATTATATTTTTGATGAGATTTATGTAACACATTTTACTGTACAGGTTAAATCTACTCTTGAAAATTTTTTATTTTTTAAGTTAAGGAATCAGGTAGAATTGTGAATTCTTAAAACTGTTTTTAGTTTTGAACTGGGATTATTGCAACTGGTTAGATTATTCTGCTATGTCAGTGAAGGTTTGTACTAATCTGCTCAATTATTCAAGCATCAAACATTTATCATGTAGCTTTTGCATACATATCTTACAAAATTTAAAAGTCATTGACAAATTCAAATTACATAGGGGGGCATAGTCAGTTGCAGGGTAGAAGTCACCTTCATAAATATAATAAGGAACAGAGAATCCAAATAAGATGTAGTGAAGGAGTATTTAATCCAAGGCAGTTGGCATTTAAGTTGAACCTTGATGATTCAATAAAAATCACCTACAAATATATGCAGTGGATTTTAAAGGTACAAAGAATATAGCTCAGGCCGCCGCCATGGCTCACCAGGCTAATCCCCCGCCTGCAGCGCCAGCACCCCGGGGTTCTAGTCCTGGTTGGGGCACTGGATTCTGTCCCAGTTGCTCCTCTTCCAGTCCAGCTCTCTGCTGTGGCCTGGGAAGGCAGTGGAGGATGGCCCAGGTCCTTGGGCCCTGCCACCCGCATGGGACACCAGGAGGAAGCACCTGGCTCCTGGCTTCGGATTGCGCGCTGGCCGCAATGCACCAGCCATAGTGGCCACTTGGGGGGTGAACCAACGGAAAAAAGAAAACCATTCTCTCTCTCTCTCTCTCTCTCTCACTGTCTAACTCTGCCTGTCAAAAAGTAAAAATAAAAAAAAGAATATAGCTCAGCCTCATGTAGTCTGTAAATTGTATCCTAAAATGCCACAATTCTTGACGATGCTTTTCTTCCCTTCTCTAATCTTATTGCTAGTTCTTTGTGCTTAGTATGCTTGTGTAAAGCTATGCCATTACTGTTTCCTCTGACATATTTTATCCAACTGAAAAGATTGACTAGAGTCACATTAATTCATTAAAAGGATTTCACAAATTTTTATTTAATCTTTGAGTGTGGAGTTTTATTTGACTTTTATTCAACCCATGCTATTCAAACAATTTTTGAAGAACAAGCAGCACTTGTATTTTCTAACTTTATAGTCACATAATGTCAAAATGTTCCCTTTTTTCTATTTTTGAAAAGCAGACATTTATTTAATTACTTTGTAAGTATTATCAGAGGCAATATTTATTAGCATTCTGTTCCTCAAATCTTTAACTAAAAAGCAAATGTGGACTACTAAAAAATATGAATGATAATTTTCTACATCCCAATTACAGTGTTCCCAGCACTCCCCATACACTCATGAGCCAATGTTTTAGAGTGTTTGTCATTGTGATATCCCACATCCTGGTATCTATTATTGTACCCATCAGTTTTCACTAGGTTATTATATGGTGAACAAAAAGTAGTTTGCAACAACAGTTCTCTCTCACTCCTATTACAGTGGTGAGGATCATGAAGAAGGGAAGTATTCTTCTCTGACAGAACACTTTGTAAGTCACAAGTTGATGAGTTATTCTTATAAACTGGAGATAGATAATCTGGAATGAAAAACTACAGAGAAACACAACTTCATTTGCCCAAGTGTATGAATGCAAATCCTGACTCCGTCACTTAACAGTTACATGAATTATGTCAATCATTTAAATTTTAAATTCCCTTTCCTCTCTTTTATCATCTTTTTTCCTAAAGATTTATTTACTAATTTATTTTAAAGGTAATTATAGATAGAGGAGAGAGAGAGAGAGAGAGAGAGAGAGAGAGAGAGAGAAAGAGAATGCATTCATCAACTAGTTAACTTCTAAAATGGCTGCAACTGTTGGGACCAGGCTTGGCCAAAACCAGGAGCCAGGAACTCCATCCAGTTCTCCCACATGGGTGGCTGATGCCCAAGTACTGTGGCTATCTTCTGCTACTTTCCCAGGCATGTTAGCAGGGAGCTTGATAAGAAATGGAGTGTCCAGGACTTGAACTGGCACTCTGATATGAGTTGCAGGCATCACAAGCAACACATAGCTTTGCAACACAACACCTACCCCTCTTTCATCATCTTTAAAATACTGTGGCATATGATCTGCCTCAGACTTGCTATATGCATTAGATTAATTAATTCAATTGTCTAAAACACAGAAAGTTTCCATTTAATATTTTAGTAGTATCTGTGTTATTTGATTTTTTAACTAGTTCAGCTAATATTTCTAAAAAAACAATCCTGCATTGCATTGAAGTTTGTTATTTTTTTAAATAGGCCTCTTTATAGCATTTTTATATTTATGTAGTTAGTTAGTTGAACTTTAGCTGTTCCCATTCTCTGGCTCATTTCACAAATGCCCACAACAGCCAGGATGGGGTCAGGCTAAGCAAGAGACCAGGAACTCAATCAAAGAAGGTGGCAGGGATCCAAGTACTTGAGCCATTGCTTGCTGTCTTGCAGGGTGTACCTTAGCAGGTAGGTAAAATAGAGAACAGAGATGCAATTCAAACCCAGGAGTTCCAATATGGGATGCTGTTGATCTGATTGGAATCTTAAGCAATAAGCCAAACATGGCACATTTAATCGGAATTGTAATGGTTTTGTTATTTGTTTCCTCTAGTTATTAAGATAAAGACACTTTCGTCTTTATATCCCTTCAATTAACCATGGTCAGAACATGTCAGGAGCTCAATATTTGCTTTATAAGCAAAAAATAAATAGAAGAATAAGAGAAGTTCTGTGAAAGTTTATAAAGAATGACATAAGAAAATTCATTGCCCAGATACTCAAAGAAAAGTTTTGAGAAAAACTGGAATTTGAAAAAAATGCTTTGATGGGGAAAAATGATTTAATGAGCAAGTAGAAATAAAGACATTTTAGAGTCAGATAGAGATTTTCACTGAGAATTTTCATTATTAAGAGTGTATTCAATCTCCATGTATTTCTAGCTAGTGTTCATTAAATATATATATACATATATATATATATAATGCATACTATTCAATTTACAAGTTGACCAACCTTTAAAACTCTTTGAAGCTTTTATATTGGTCTGTTTCTTGTCACTGTAACCCCAAAACTTAGTATCTTACACAGAAAAATTATTCCAAAACTGTTTGTTGAGTAAATGCTGACTACTAAATCCCAAACAATTTATATTTCCATTACTGATGCTTGTAGTTGCCAATTTCCCACACTCTAACAGAAATTTAAAATTGTGCTGCAGATTTAGAAGTAATCTACATTCTTTTGACATGTTGTCCTGCTTAGTCCAAGTCACATGGTTCAGAAGATTTGCAGCAAAATGCCTGAGCTGTGAAACTGAAAACATTTACAACCCATTGGAATGGAAAATGGCAAGTTTAGCTGAGTTCACTTTTGCAGGCACAATAAAAGTAAATTAACCCCAAATGGGTAATTATGTAGAATTCTGCTTGAGCAACTCTCAGTTTCCAACTGTTAGTGTCTATAAACAGGATTGTAAGGCAATATGTGTGCAATAGGCTATATCAAGTGAGCCATCAACTGAAGAACCTGTCCTATTTGCGTTAAATTACAGAGATCCATGAAATCTGTTGTATACTTTTAAATTAGTATGTATAAGATTATTAGTGATCACATTTTGTGCCCTTGTTTGACTTCCTGAAGAACTTTAAGCTTCACTCAAGGAATTAGTTAATGCTTTGCTTAATCAATTTTTAAGTTCTCTCATTGACAGTGTGTCTCAGAATTCTATCAAAAAACCCTACAGACAACTCTGTAAAACTCATCTTTTTAAGAACTTTTTATTTTTTTATTTATATAAGGTGAACAAATTTTATGTGTTTTATATATACAGATTTAGGGCCACAGTGATATTTTGTCACTACCCTCCATCCCACCCACATTTCCACCCTCCCACCTCCTTGCTTTCTTATTCTTTCTTTGAATTTTTATAAAGACACACTTTCAGTTTATTTAATAATCATAAGCTTAATTCTCACTAAGTAAAAATTCAAAAAAATAGCAACACCACTGTTACTCAACAGTATAGAAATGGGCTATAAGCATATATATATATATATATATATATATAAATGAATTACATTTTTTGTACTCTATCAATTACCACAGATCAGGGAAAACATGATATTGGTATTTTGGAGACTAATTTATTTCACTAAGCATAATGGGTTCCAGTTGCATCCATTTTGTTGCAAAAGACAGGATTTCATTCTTTTTTTAATGGCTCTAAGTAGTATTCCATATTGTATATACACCACAATTTCTTTATCAAGTCATCAGTTGATGAACATCTGGGTTGATTCCATAAATTTGCTATTGTGAATTGAACTTCAATAAACATGATGTTGTTTTCTTTGGGTAAATTCCCAGGAGGGGATTGCTGGGTCATACAGTATATCTATTTTGAGTTTTCTGAGGTACCTCCGTAATGGCTGTACTGATTTACATTCCCACCAACAATGTAGTACGTTACATTTTCCCCTAATCCTTGCCAGCATGTATGTATGTATATAAGTATTTATTTATTTATTTATTTATTATTTGATTTCCATATGAGAGCCATTTTAACTGGGGTTGGAGGTGAAATATTGCAATTTTGATTTGCATTTCCCTGATGGCTAGTGATCCTAAGCATTTTTTCTTGTT